CACAACAAAAGACTGTATCCTTATGCAACCTGGGACTCCTGAAAAGATGACGATGGCCTTCCCTGTGGTCTAGTAGGAGGATTCCAGCCCTCCATGGCCACTCACGGACCCGGGGGCTAGGACACCTGCCAACCTGGGAGGCTGGATATGGGCTGGTGTCCACTGGCACAGCATAGCGGGGGGCATGAACCAATCATGGGAGAAAGAGAGTTTGATTTTTAAAAAGTTACATAAATAGACAGCAAGAAGAGTCACATTATGGGAAAAACCCAGAGTTTCGGGACTTGCTCATACTTATAAGCTAGTATTTATTTTATAGGATAAATTTAGTTTAGAGTTACAAATGTGACAGCTTCCAAAGTTCCTACCCAGTTTTCAGTTAAACACTAATCAAAGTGTTGCTATGAAGCTATTTTGTAGATGTGGTTAATATCACCAATCAGCTGACTTTAAGTGCAGGGGATGACTCTGGATAATGTGGGTGGGCCTCATCCAATCAGTTGCAAAGCTTTAAAAGAAAATACTGAAAGGCCTTAAGACAAATACTGATGCACCCCTATGGTCCATTGCAGCATTATTTACAATAGCCAAGCTGTGGAGGCAACCCAAGTGCCCATCAATAGATGAGTGGATATGTCCTGGCCAGTGTGCTCAGTGGTCAGAGTGTCAGCCTGCACACTGAAAGTCTCAGGTTCAATTTCTGGTCAAGGACACGTACCTGTGTTGCAGGTCCAATCCCTGGCCCTGGTTAGGACACGTGCGGGAGGCAACCAATCCTTCCTCTCTCTCTCCCACTCTTCTCTAAAAATCAATGGGAAAATGTCCTTGGGTGAGGATTAACAAAAATAAATTAAAAATAGATGCTGGATTAAAAAAGCTGTGTTACATATATACAATGGAATATTAGTCATGAAAAAGAATGAATCTTACTATTTGCGACAGTGTGGATGAACCTAAAGGGTATTGTGCTAAGTGAAATAAGTCAGTTAAAGAAAGACAAATACCATACGATTTCACTTATATGTGAAATCTAAAGAACAATATAAACAAAACAGAAAAGGACTCAGATACAGAGAACAGACTGATGGTTTTCAGCAGTAAAGGGTGTTGGGGTACTAGGTGGAAAAGGCGGAGGGATTGAGAAGTACAGATTGGTAGTTCCAGAATAATCATGAAGGTGTAAAGTACGGCATAGGAAATATAGTCAATTATATTGTAATAAGTATGTTTGGTGACAGTTTGGTGCTGGCAATATCAGGGGGAACATTTGTGAAGTATATGATTATACACTATGCTATACACCTCAAACTAATACAAAATAATATTAAATGTAAATTGTAATTGAAAAGAATTAAAAAAAACAAACAAAAATTAACTATAAATGAAAATACTGAAGTTTCCCTGAGGATGAAGTATCAGCTTCTGGCCAAGAGTTTCCAGCCTGCCTGTCTACCCTACAGATTTCAGACTTGCTTGCCGCTCCCCATAATCGTGTAAGCCAGTGCCTTAAAATAAATCTCTTAATACTCACACACTGACAAACACATATAGCCCACTGGTTCTGGCTCCTTGGTAGACCCCTGACTGATATAGGAACTAAGCAGGTGAGTCTGGAGTTAGCCTCAGCTGAAATCCCAGACCCACAATTTACTCATTTACTACCTGTGCCATCTTACATAACTGGCTTGATCTCTCAGAGTGTTAGGTGTGTCCTCCATAAAATGAGGATAAGAGTAGCTCTTACCACCCAAGGTTACTATGTGGAAGGAATTAAGAGGAGCCAGGAAATGAACATTATAATAACAGTTAACTATGTGCCAAGCCATTTTCAAGTGGTCAGTGTGTATTAACTCATTTAATCCTCACAATAATCCTAGGAAGTTGGCCTAGTGTTAACCTTTTTACAGTCCAGGCTCTGAGAGGTCATGTGACTTGCCTGAGGTCACCCAGGGAATAAGATGCTGAAGTGTAGCATGTTTAGCACACTGAGTGCTTTCTGATAAGCACTGAGCTTGTAGAAGATATGATTCAGATGATGATAAAGCCTTAATTATAAAAAAAAAGTGCATCACCACCCTTTTCAATTCTCTTCATCAAAAAGGCCTTCAAAAGCACAGCTGCCATATGAGCCAGCAATCCCACCCTTGGTAGAACACCTGTGTGAAATAAAAACCTATGTTCACATAAAACCCATGAACCAATAATTATCAAGGTTTTAACTCATAATTACCAACAGCCATTAAAACCTAAATGTCCTTCAGTGGGTGATTGGATAAACAAACTGACCTATCAACACGATGGAATATTATTCAGCCATAAAAAAAGAAACAAGCTACTGATACAGGAACTAATGCAGATGAACTTTAAATACATGGTTAGTGAAAGAAGGCAGACTCAAAAGGCTATTTCCTGTGTAATGCCATTTAATAGCACCTTCTGGAAAAGGCAAAAGTATTGGGGCAGAAAGTGATTGTTGGCGGCTGGGATCTACTACAGGGGGTACAGAGAGATTTTTGGGATGCTGAAAATGTTCTATATCTTGACTGGTGGTGGTTATACCACTATCTGTATTCAGAACTACAAACTGAAAAAGGTGTATCTATATTATACCATAATAAAAATAAATAAATAAACATCCCATGGACTTCACAATAAAAAATGCAAATCAGGGCAGGGCTTGGGAAACCTCTCTCTGGGGCTCCTGACACAGCAGAAAGTTGCTAACCAGCCCTAGCTTGTCTTTTCTCTGCTTCACCTTCCCTCACAATTCGAACCAGCTCTATCATGCACTCCCAAACCAGCCAAGCCAGGTTCCGGACAATCAAGATCCTACCTAACTCATGTGTGGGATGCAAACAGAACCTGTGAGCTGGACACAACTGAACACACCAGATCTTTGGTGTCCAAATTATTGTGGGGTCCCCCAGGTCCAAGATCCCAGGAGGCCCCACTTATCTTTCAGCGCTGCTAAATGCAAGATCTGTCTGGAATTTCCTCTTTGGAAATTGCTCCCAGGGGCTTGTTACAGTCAGCTCAGCAACACCAAATGTGTCTACTTGTCACTGTTATTACCCACTGAGGCTAATAACACAAGCATGATTTAGCTGTCCCTAATGACAGGCACAGCCAGAACCACAGTACAGTGTCATGAATGGCTGTACAAAGTGGCCAATTTTCATTCCAAGGGTGGATTTGATTTTTGCTGACAGCCTGGTTACTGGAAGCCAGATGAAGAGGTCCTTACTCCTGCAATACTTGTCAAAAATAAAGAGGAATTTTCTCCTCTGGAGGCTTGCTCCTGCCTTTCTATGAACTTCTTGTGGGTGAGCAGGGTGGAGATTATTTGTATGCCCCAGATGGCACAGAGCATAGTAGGTTCACAAAATGAGTTGGTTCCTGTTGAGTGAGTGCAGGGCTCAGGAAAGCAATCTCAAAAAGGGAACTCCAGAATGTTCCAACTCCCTAGGAATGTGTACAGAATTCCCCCAAGGATGCCATCTATTTGGTCAGGACACCACAAGCCTCACCTACCTGGAACCCAGTGATACGGAAGAGGCGCCAACGCAGACTACACTGGAGAAACTAGAATTTGACAGAACTAGCGAAGTAGCAAAACATGGCTAGGTTTTAGGGTTTCCACTCTACCCCCTTAGTACCTCACAATTAGACATCTCAAGTAATCCAAGTTGGTAGGGTTTTAAGATGTGGTCTCGGAGTGAGGGCACATCACTCAATGAGGGCAGCAAATGAGGCCGGTTGGGACACAAAGGTTTCAAGATACTGAGAGCCCCCCAACTACCAACAGAATAAAATCGATGCTTTTGAAAGTGCGGTTATAAAACACCTTTGTGTTTTCATCTGTTTTGTCCAGATAGGCCGAGTGAAAAAGATAGTTTCTGAAGACCACAGCCTTTGCTGTTTCTTAAAAGTCCCCAAAAGTTGTAGCTTCAGTGTGTTTAGAACCAACCTGGATGATTAAGGGCTCAGCAATGACTCACCCTTGCCCCACCCTATGACTCAGAGTTCTACCTTTGAGGACTTCTTACCATGTCCCTGATATCAGATCATCATGGGTTTCCAATGATGCAAGTTGATGGTGGCTCAGGGCAGGCCTGGAAGTGGGAGAAAGGAGAGAAGGTGAGGGAGTGTACCAGGTGCTGCCCGCTCAGCCTGTCCAGAAATGTTGTATGCATGAGTGTGTGTGTGTGTGTGTGTGTGTGTGTGTGTATGCCCGCGCGTGCGAGGCACAACTGCCAGCCATAAATGGGACCTGTGTCTGTGATTTTCAATGTTCCAATAGGTATGTTAAGAAAGTAAGATGAGTGGCTCAGTGGTTGAGCATGGACCTATGAACCAGGAGGTCATGGTTGGATTCTGGGTCAGGGCACATCCTGGGGTTGCGGGCTCTTATCTCCAGTGGGGGGCATGTAGGAAGCAGTCAATCAATGATTTTCTCCTATGGTTAATATTTCTATTTCACCCTCTACTTTCCTCTTGGAAATTAATAAAAATATATCACCAAAAAAAGTACTTTGTTAAAAAAAAAAAGTAAAGCCCTGACCGGTTTGGCTCAGTGGATAGAGCATCGGCCTGCGGACTGAAAGGTCTCAGGTTCGATTCCGGTCAAGGGCATGTACCTGGGTTGCGGGCACATCCCCAGTAGGGAGTGTGCGGGAGGCAGCTGATCGATGTTTCTCTCTCATCGATGTTTCTGGCTCTCTATCCCTCTCCCTTCCTCTCTGTAAAAAAGTCAATAAAATATATTTAAAAAAAAAAAGTAAAATGAAATAGGGGAACTTAATTTTAGAAATATATCTTCTTCCAATATATCCAAAATATTATCATTTCAAGATGTAATAAACATAAAAGGTTATTATGAGATTTAAAAAAATTATTTCCTTTTCATACTGTCATTGGAATTGATGTGTCTGACATTTATACAACACATCTCAAATTGGACCAGCCATATTTCAAGGGCTCACCAGCTTCATGTGGTGACCATACCGGACAGCGCAGGCGGAAACAAATGTGGGTCCCCTGCCACAGGGGGACGGGAGCTTGCATTAAAAAGGGCAGTGAAGACATCCCCTGGTTACAGATTGGGAGGATCTCAGGGTACTTTCCCCGACCCATTTCCCCTTTCCGTCCCTCCCATTCATGACAGATAGGGGTCTCCTCGCCTGAGGCCACTACATACCAGAGCTTCAGCCCACGACCCCAACCCCTAGACCTCTTCCGTTGCTCCCCAGTACCCCACGGGCCG